GGTATGTACCATATAAAATTACAAAATAATCTCATTTATTGCTTGATTTTATAGCCTGAAAGGTCATTTTCCAATTTGGCACAAATTGTCTGTCTGTCTGTCCATCAGTCCGTCCATCAGTCCGTCCATCAGCAGTTTTTTTTTTGTCAGCTCAACTCTTCTAGCAACCTTTAAAGTGTTTTGATGAAATTTTGTGGAAAGTATTATGAAAGAAGGCATATTGTAAGCATTTTGTGCTGCATTTGTCAAAGGGTCTGAAGGGGTTGAAGCCAGGAGCAGACAAACACAAGGAACTTAATATAATAATATTGGATAATAATGGATGACTTTATAGTTGGATCTGTGTGTTTTAGGTCTTTGGTTTGATTTCTTAAAGCAGAGTTTAAAGGAGCACTACAAACATTCAAATGGACTCATAAGCCAGATTGGACTACTTTGTGCTGCAAACGTCAACTGAAGACTAGGCAAAGGTGATAGTTAAGCAGCTTCTACTTTAGCCATGCAAATGTATTTTTAATAGTACTGGTACTGGGAGAGCATTCAATTAGCAATCACCACATGCTTATTTATAGACCAATCACACCCTCTTACATCACTTGAGAGTCCCTATCGAGCCAAGAGAGTTCCCACTCTGAAGCAGGAGTTAAAAATACTTGATAAATGTAGTTTTAAGGGCTTTGAGCGTTCACAGTATCGCCAGTGTGAAAACAATAAAGGATGAACCACCTCAAAATGGTTATAAGGATTGTGAATTGGTCTCCTGTGATCTGAAAGTACTTGACTGGAAATCTGAAGCTAGATCATTTTTTAAAAATGGTTCCCTATTACAGTTCTGTGGCTGTCATTCACATGTTTTTGCAAAATAAAAATAAAAAAGAGATTAAAAAATCTTTCAAAGTGATGCTGTATTTGGAAATAAAACAAATCTTTTAGAATATGTGTTATCTGGTTTATATTTACAACGTGTCTAAAGTTTTCTCTTCGTTTCTCTCAGAATCCAAGCCGATGCACAAGAAATCCAGGTGGCCAAGGAGCGAGAATACGCCGAAATTCAGGACGTTGTCAGCCGCACTTTCAGCTCAGATGAGGAGCACACTTATGCTGGGATTGGCTCGATCGGCTCATCTGCAGGTAGCAGCAGCTTAGATGCCTACAATCACCACTACCATCTCCCTCAGAGTCCGCAGAGCCCACCTCCTTCACTGAACCTACAGAGCAATGGCCCGCCACTGGAGGCGCTTTACGCTCAGGTTAATAAGCGTCGCAATGAACGTCCTGCAGCTCCCGAAAGGTAAAGAACTTTCCTCTTTATTCACAATATGAAATGTTCCAATGCTCTCTATTATTCTTATTTGTTGAAATTATACTTAGGCACTGATTTCACTTGAAAAGCTCTGGAAATGTTAACCACTTTCTGATTTAATATGATGAAAATACCAAATGTTTTATATTATTATGAAATGATAAATATCCCATTACAACATGGAAGTTTCAGTTCTTTTATGTAAGCTTACATGGGGAGTCCCAAAGAGCTTGTGACATAGTTTGCAGACTCCCCAATGCTTTTAAATATCTCATATTTTTTGTGAAATAATCTGATTCATGTAAAACTAATGTCAGACTACACAGCTGAGAGTAAAGTATTAACATTTTTTTGAAATAGACGATAAAGGATTTTCATAGGCAAACTTGAAACAAGTTAAATGTTGAGGACATGTCATGGTACTTTCTTTCTAATAATTTATTTTAAAATTCACATTATATTACAAGGCATATCAATCACCCTAACCCCACATAATAATTTAACTAAACACTTTCTTACCTTTTATTATCTCACCTCTAGAGTTGAAGGTATCGCTGGAAGGTAAAAAAAATCCTCTGTGTTTTCTTTGCTAAAAAGTCAAAAGACCACTTTTCTCAGGGTCTCCTAAAACCTTTTAGAGTGTTATTAAGGGGGCTGGATAATACCCACATCCTGTGATTGACATCTGCCACTGGGGGGCTTGTGACCTCTCCCTTCTGGGCTCTGGCTGGAATAGTATTACTCTGTGTGACCAAGAAAGAACACCTCAGAACGAGTGGGTGGATGTTTTTAAAGAGGATTTGGGGAGGAAAGACCTCCGTCCTGTAACTCTTGTGGAAATAGAACTGAAAAGGTTTTCTGTCCGCTCTGGTAACTGACTAAACCCATGTGGTATTAGTAAGAAAACATTGACTTACATGTATTTAATAAAAAAAAGTAACCTTGTTGTTTTCTCAGTCTTTGTACATGTCAGAGCAAACAGTTCTCTTCAACTTGTCAATCTTTCTGACAAAATTTGAAAACAAAAATGTTTGAGGTAAACTGTATTGCTTGACTGGTGTCCCAGTGAACCTTGGAAGATATCCAGATACTTTTTGAAAGACACAATGACAAAATCTAAACAATTTTTTACAGTGTGAAAACTGGCTGACCCCATAATTTGATAAATATATTTTTCAGTTAACATTTTTTAATCAATGGTTTGTATCCTCAGCAGTCTGTGACCTCTGAACTCCCCATATGTAACACATATTAACTACCTTTCATCTTGAAACTAGTCCTACTGGAAGTTTCTTCCTGGTAAACATACGCAGTTTCTCTTCACTGTTGCCCACCACTTCATTCCAGCTCAGTGGTTTAATTTTTCTGTCAATGTTTTGCTATTATGTCGTTTTGTAAAATACTGGTAAGTAACTCATGCCACAGTTTTTGTGTTAATTCATGCTGTATATCAAAAAATTTGAACCATGAGTTTTGGTATTTCAGCAACTTATATTTTTCAACTTTTTATTTATTATTTACTGTTATTTAACCAGGGAAGTCCAGTTGAGATCTTAGATCTTTCTTTCAAGGGAGGCCAGGGCCTGTTGTACATGTTTTTAGGGGTGGGGGAAACCGGAGTAGCCAACACAAGCACGGGGAGAACATGCAAACTCCACACAGAAAGACCCCAGGTCCGAACCGGGGATCGAACCCAGGACTTTCTTGCTGTGAGGCATCAGTGCTAACCACTGAACCATCATGCTGCCTTACTAACTATTTAGCTGGACACTTTTTTTTTAAATGAATGGAGCTGTCTTAAAACCCTTCTAAATGTTTATACTTTTTCTGCACCTTTTATCTTGTACTCTGCTTCTGCTACTTTGTGCTAAGTTCAGCCTTTTCATTGTAGCTAAATTTAGCATTTCGTTATTTCAGCAAACTTTTTGTTCCTTTCTGTTGTTATTCTGCTATATTCATCTTTGCACTACTTTTTTCTGTTTTTTGTACTAATTTAAGCCATTTTTCTGCCTTTTAACTTTTTAGTTGATTTATGCTAATTTGTGCTTTTTGCAACTAACTTCACCTTTTTGCCACTTAATTCAGCATGCTTTTTCATTTTATTTGTGCTAATTTCATTTTTGTCAGCTATTTTTAGCTATTTCGTCTTGTTTCACCTTCTTTTTAGATCTTTTAAAAAAAATGCATTTATTTTATACTTATGTTCTTGGTTTTTTTCTACTAATGTGAGTTTTGTTGCTGCCCTTTTACAATCTATTTGCTAATTCAACTTTTTTCTGCCTTTTTTAGCTTAATTTCTGTTCCGTTCAGCTTTTTTGACACATTTTTTCAAAAAAATAATTATACGGATTTTTCACTCGTTTTACTTCAGCAAATGTCAGCCGTTCAAACTGAACTCATATTAACAGTTTTCTTGTTGAAACTGTGCAACTTCTTCAGCAGCTTTCAGCCAAAATATGTTTTGCAATAAGCGCTCACACTGCATTTTCGCAGGAAATGCAAGTTCTCTAGTTAGATTTGAAATAGTTAATATTTTAAAGGTTCATAGGACATTTAATTTTTTAACAAAATCTTTATCTTTTAACTTAAACATATGTTATATTTTTCTTTCTGCTTAGCAGTGTCTTAGAAACACTGATCTGTCATCTTCACAGGTTTGTTTCATCATTAAAAGCTTAGTGTCCCATGTTAAATATATAAAAAAATCTTTTTATTTTTAGTTTGGGATCTTGTATTTCAGTAGCACAATATGGTGGTTTTATACACCGGATTAGCTGTTGGGAATGTTGTGATTTGATTTCAAAAATGCACAACGTGTACAACAATGCCTTTTTGTTTGGCACGTCGTGCTGCTTTGCATATCTTGTGTATGCCAGCCTGGTTGTGAGCTCTCAGTGTTTGTTTTGCTGCCTCTGAAATTTAATAAAACACTCTGCTTCTTATTTTGTTCACAGTCTTTCTATTTACAATTTGCAAAAGGAGCTTGAAACCCATTCAGATTCAATACTCCTGTCACTTGCCTATCATACCAAACATAAACAGTAATTTGCATTTTTAAATTAAACTTATTGGAACTGTCATTTATAAAGAAACAACAGAAGGGAATTTGCAATATATATATTTTTTTATCTATTGGTCTAATCAGAAAAAAATTGTTGCATGTCACATCCTTGTTTTTTTTTTTTTTRTTTTTAGTATTTCTGTTTATAATTTGGCACTGCTGAGAAAACATAAACTGTGTGTTTGAAGATAAAAAAAAGAATTAATTGGAACTTGATTTTGAAAAGTCGCTATTTTCTGAACTGTCAGCCAGTTGTTATTTTGTGAAAGAGAAAAATAAATAGGATTTAACCCTGAACTGGATAGCAGCTGGCTAATTTGAAATCAACATTGATAAAAGGACAATGATCATATTTAATGTCCTGGTAGATCCTGTGCAAATTTAATAAAAAAGGATTTTTGTTTGTTTTCTCTTGTGTGTTTTTTCCCTCTTTCTGACTTACTATGTCCTGATGCATCAGGACATAGTAATGATGCATTGTTCAGACTGACATTGTCCTGATGCATCTCAGTAATCCAGGTAGAAAAAAATCAAAAAGAAAAAAATAAGTAGGTCCTCTGGATGGGTTCTTCTTTAGTGAAACATTTCGTCTCTCCTCCAAGAGACTTCTTCAGTCTGATGAGTTTCAGGTGAACTCAGCATTATAAGCACTGCCTCCACATGGTAGACAAACAGGTTAGTCACATGCAAAAGAGGGCCATCACCTAACAATAGGCTTGTTTAGTTCTATTGTTCATAGAGGGTCATGTGCCCCATCACCTAACTTATTGGTTTGGATGTTTCAGCTGTGGTTATTTGGTGTTTTGTTATGTGTATGTAGTGAGTGCAAGCGGGGTTCAACGTCCCCTTGTTTTTATCTCTCTGTCCCTATTTTTGTTGTGTATCGTCGGGGCCCTGATTGTATGTGAAGCATTCAAAACTTTACATACAAAGTGTCAACAATTTACTATTGTAATTTGGCATTTTTTAAAAAATATAGAACCAATCATCAATGTTCATTTTCATCTTTTGTGTATAACAGCTTGCACATGTGCAAAGTGAGTTTAAAAAATAGGTTATAGCAAAAATGACATTTTACATTTGTTCAGTAAATTCAAACATTTTAAAAACAAACTAAACACAGCACTCACTGTGCCTGTTTCCCCCTTCGGCACAATAAATATTTTTATTGTGGACACCATCTGCCTCAATTACCCAAACCTGTATTCGTTTTTCAAACCGACAAAGCTGTGACAAGGTGTTTTGAAAGCAGTTGTTTAGATGTAGTCAGCTAATTGGCGCTACTTAGAGACCCTCTGGTTGATACTGGGAAGGTGCTCCTTTGTTATATGAAGTGTGGGTCAAACACCTGCATCTGCCTGAAGATTTAAGCTTTGCGTCTTCTAAATAATTTGGGCCCTCTGTATTTATATGCACGTGTATTCATTTAATGCCTTAATAAAAGCACTCAGCCATGACTCTGCGACACTTACAAAGCTGCTGTCTTGTTTACCCACAACAGTTCATTGGAACAGGCTGCAGCTGGATAAACAGCCGCTGTACGCTCATCTCTGTCTAATAGACCTTTGGTAATGGAGCCCTAATGGGAAGGTCAGTGTGGCTGTAAAGCTGGAATGAGTCAGACATGAGCCTATAAAAGCATCGGTGATACAAGGACCCCTTAGTTGGTGTGGGCGTCCAGACATACTGCCAGTTCTGCCATATTGAGTTTTACAGTTCCTCTGTCGAGATCACGCTACAACAAGAGCTCATTTGACAATTTATGGCAGCGTTGTTCGAACTGGCAGCTCCAGTGGTGTTTTGACAGTGCTGTCAGACTCGGTAACATTGAAGCACACCAATAAAAAACAGCATCTATTTAATTTCCATTTCATTTGTAGAAACTGAATATAAAATCATTTCTCACCCTAAAACCTGTAGTATGCAAGTCGCTTGGTCTGCTACCAAGTTTACATGAAGGCGAGCCAGGCAAACAGAACTGAATTCAGTTTTTTTTGTATTTTCTAGATTGGTTTGCTTCATCTTCTAAAATAAAAGGTAGACCTTTCAAAATGGAATGACCTCATTTCTCGACATGCAGCTGACAAGTTGCCAAGCTCAAAGGGATTTGCGGGAAAAAAAAAAAAAAAACAAGCGTGAAACAAAGCATCACCTTTGAAACTTCAGTTTGATTGACTGCTGCTCCACGTTACCCAGCAGAGTTTTGAACACACCTCAGCGGATGGGCAAGAAAGACTTTGTGAGATGTAAAGGAGGAGGTCAGGGGAGAGGCACTGGCAAAACAAAAACATAAACAAAAACAAAATATATA